AATCAATAAAACAGTATTTTAAAACATGGATAAACTACCAATAAATAAGTAAATAATAAAATATAATACTATGCAGCTGTTACAATGAAGGAAGTAAATCAGTATTTACAGATGTGGAAAGGTATCCAAAATAATGGGTAAATGAAAAGTTGCCACTTTGAATGATTTTATTTGTATAAATAATATTAAGAAATATGTAATAGAATATGAATATGAACTATCAGAAATACCTACTAAACTTTTATTTGGAAGGGATAAAATTATAGGAGACACTCACTTTCTAATTTATACATTTCTATAATATCCTTTTTTCCCTTTTTTTATAATCATATATTACTTTTATAATCAAGACAAAACAAAATCCACTATCCAAAGATCTTATTCTGCCAATCCTCCAAGATTCTATTATTTATGAGGGAATGTGTGATTCCTTTTGTTTTAGTAGACCCTAAAATTTTTCTCCTCCTCTTTCCCCTTATGTATATGAAGTAATTAAATTCAATGACTGAATGGTGAACTTTGGGATGTATATGCTAGATCATCCTGCATACTAAAGCATTGGCCCTTTAACACAGAATCTTTATTATAAATTGTTTGAGAATTCACTGAGGCAGCTAGATATATTTAGAGGGAAATACTCCTTAGATTTATAATTATTTTTAAAAACTCGACATGTGTACTTTTGTATTTTTTCCATTATGGTATATGACAATAAAAATAAAGCTTAAAGACTCCTTTGAAGAGTTTTGTATATCATGAGCTACTGTGATGGGAAAGAGTAATATTCAAAAATACACAGTTTCTACATCCTAGTCTCAATGGAGACTTCCATTGTTTCTTTATTTACATGCTTCTCATAGTTCTGTTGACAATCTGACATCACTGTCGCTGAAACAGGAACTATATAGATAGGAAGAAATGGGAAAACTTCCTTCTAATTGCCTTAATACTGGCTGAAATGTTTGCACACCTGTTGGAAGTTATAGTCAACAGGATTATATAAAAGGTATGCCTAAGTAAATTATATATTGTGATATAAGTTATAGTTTAACCTCAATTAGGCAGCTAAGTTGTATAAAACCAAGTATTAATTTAAAAAAAAGCTTATTTTGTCCTTAAAGAGGAGTTATAAATATAACTCTTGAAGTAGTTATGAGGCAGACAGTGGAGGGAAATAATCCCAGCTTTTGCTGTAAAATCTGACCCTTGGGAAATGTGGATATGTGTAGGAATGTTCATGGTTCAAGCTGAGCTTTTACCAGGTTAATATACTTCAGTCAAATTTATGCTTTCAAGAAACATTTAATGAAAAATACTATGTATAAGTCAGATATTCTCTCCTTAAGAAATGTATGCACAGTCTGCTGAGGGCAAACAGTTGATTGCAGTGTGGTGTGATAAATGATAAGGGAGAAGTATATATACAGAGGCACACCCAGGTGAGATGCCCAACCCAGAGAGTGGAGTGGAGGATGTGAGCTCTGTACTGTATCCTTAAAAACAAGGAGGAGTTGGAGAAAGAAGAGTATTGGTTCTTCTAGAGGGAAAGAACATGGTGTGCAAAGGCCAGTAGGCAAAAAGGATGTGTTAAGAGTACTTAAGTTTTGGAAAGCTAGAGCATAGCCTTCTAGGGGGAAGAGGCCAGAAAGAATATTAAGCAGGCTCCTGGATTGAGTGCTATACTAAGGAATTTGGCCTTGACTGTGAGAGGAGCATTTGAAAGATTTCTAAGCAGAGGAGAAAGGAGTTATATAATTAGATTTGAGCTTAAAGATCATCCTGTCTAGGGGGAAAATGGAATTGGAAAACCCCTACCTCTCGCATATATAGGTCACATGTTGTCTTGAGTAAACCTAATTTTTAATGCATCATTGTGCTCTTGGAAAGTAAAGGGAATCTTTTGGGCCCCCAAACAAACACCAAAATTAAAATATTAGAGGTAAGCAATAAAAAACTAATTTGACCTGGGGGCAAATTGACAAATCAATCCAGAGATTCAGGAATTTGGTGGTTAGGAATAAACCTTGGGGTTGAGATAAAAGCAGGAAGCTAGGTGTAAATGTGATCCCAGTGTGTGGCCTTCCCCCAAACCTCCCGTGCCCAACTCTCAGCAGAAGCAAATGCAGATCTTCCTCTCTGGAGAAAGACATCCTTAATTTAGGTTTCCACAATCTGGAAGATTCACAAAAAACTAAATATGGACCTCTTAATCAAATATCAAGCATATGAAGAATCAAACACCCATGAGAAAGAATCAGGAGAAATAACAAATAATAGGCATTCAAGGATCTCAAATCAGACAGTATAAAATATCTGTGACATTTTTTAAAGAAATGAGTCAAGTTTACAACAAAATGAAATGATCACAAATGACCAGACAAATGTGGGAAATAACTACATAGACTTTTAGAAATAAAAAATAGTTGAAATAAAAAATCTCAGGGTTGGTTTAACATATTAGATTTAGATGGTGAAAGTAAATTGCAAGCCAGATATGAAATGCCTCTTCAGAAAGCAATCTAGAGACAAAGGAAATGGAAAATATAAAAGATAGGTTAAAAGAGATGGGGGGAGCGGGGCTACAATAAGAAAGACTGAAATCCCAGAAGGAAAGAATAGAGGAAAGCAAAAAAATTTAGAGGTAAGAACTGAGAATTTTTAAGAACCAAGAAGTGAACCTATAAATATAGGAAGCATATCCCAAATAGGATAAGTAAATTCACACACAGTCATGTTGTAGTCAAACTGCAAATACCAAGGGAGAAGATCTTAAAAGAACCAAAGAAAAAAGGCAAATCGCCCACAAAAACCACAAGCAATAAGAATGATAGACTTCTCATTTGCACAATGGAAGCTAGAAGAGAAGGACATAATATCTTTAATGTGATAGAGAAAACTATCAAGCTAGAATTTTATATCCAGAGAAACTATCTTTCAATAACAATGGTAAAATAAAGACATTTCAGATAAACAAAGTGGAGTTTACCTCCAACAGACTTTCACTTAAGGAAATTCTACTTTAGGAAGAAGGAAAATGGTACCAGAAAGGAGCTCTGAGATTCAAGAAGCAGTGGTGAGCAAGGAAATTGGTAAGCATCTAAGTAAACCTAAACAAGTGCTACCTGTATAAAGTAATGATGCTGCTAACCATGTCTAATTTGTGAGGTTAAAAAAAGATAAAATATTGGTCAAGTAGGAGAGTGGTTAATATACTAATTCATTTTAAAAATAGATCTTATATTAATTTTAATTTGTCATGCATGTTAAAATGTCAAGAATAATTTTCCTGAAGAAAAGTGAGTGTATAATTTCCAAAGCAATAAAGAGGAAAGGTAGAATTTAAAAATGTTTAATAAAAAATTTCTTACCGCTATTACTAGTGATTTAGTTTTGGGGTTGCTTTAAAGCCATACTAGCCCATCCCTGCCAACATCTTACGCAGCTTCTCTTCAGTGAGAGGGGATCTACACCCAAAGAGTGTTGAACAGCTCTGGTGAGTGTTCATTGTGTTAGTCATAACTCCTTGCTCAGAGTCCTCAAGATTCAGTACTGCCTTTCAGTAGAAAGTTCAAAGCATCAAGGCTTTCCAGCCAACTGGCCCCAAACAATTTAGCTCAGGATATCTCTTTAAATCCTTGAATTAGATCTGCAAACATATTTGAGATCTCCTTTCTTGACACTTTAATTCAAAATGCCCTCTGAAGAATAGGTGGAATTTGCCAAATTCTCTGTCAGATTCAACCTAATTCTCAAATCCCAGCTCCGGTCCCATAAGAGCTCCTGGCTACTCTAGCCCAAAAGTGACTTATAATTTGGAAAACTATCATCCAGTGGTGTCCAGCAAGCAACCCAGGATGGCTATGAATGTGGCCCAACACAAAATCGTAAATTTACTTAAAACCTTTATCGCTCATCAGTTTTCATTAGTGTTTATGTATTTAAGGTGTGGCCCAAAACAACTCTTTCTCTTGCAGTGTGGCCCAGAGACTCCAAAAGTTTTGGACATTACACTCTAAACCAGACTTACAAGATTCATTTATGCCTGTCTCTTCTGCTTTTACAACTGAGCTTTTATTAAATTTATATTGTAACAGGACTTCCCTGAAGTTTGCGTGGTCTTTCCAGTTAGATTTTCAGCTCTTCAAGACAGTGGCTATTTCTTACATGTCTTTGTGTCCTCTATAGCACCTAGGGAAGGGGAACTAACATGTAAGTGCCTACTGTATGCCAGGCCCTGTAAAAGAGCTTTCTTGTATATAACATCTCACTTGTTCCTCGCAGCAAGCTCACAAAGATAGATATTAGTGTCCTCATTTTACAGAAGGGGACGTTGCACTTGAGAAGGATTAAGCCACATACCCAAGGCACTTAACTTGTCAGTGGCAGAGCTGGGTTTCAACTATACCACCCATCAAAATAGCTTGTATTATCAATATATATCTTGGAGGAGTAAAATCCTCAAATGGTTTGTACATTTTTCTACTTGACCCATTTGTATCCTGCTCTGAAATTTAGAGAGCTGTGGAAATAGATCTTAAAGAAACCAAAATTCTTCTCAAAAATTAAAATTTGACATGCCAGGACTGGATGAAAGACGAAGACGGGATTAGCCAAGGAGCATGTATGCATAACCCACAGACCCAGAAAACAGTGTGGCGATGGCCAGAGGGAAGGGGGTAGGGGATAGGTAGAGGCAGACAAAGTGGGGGACATGGGGACATCTGTAAAACTGTTACCAATAAAAATAAACTTTAAAAAAATTTGACATGCCAATTATTAATAAACAGCCAAATAAACAAAGAACTTAAAGTCAGACAGAAAATCATATTGGTGGGGTGGTAGATTAAGGATGCTAAAGAGATTCTTTTATTCTGTGCTTTGCATTCATGTAATATGATGTGAAACAAGTATCACAACAAAGTGTGCCATTCATAGGGTACTTGCTGCAAGTCCATATCCCTTTCAGAGCATTCTTTCTCTTCTCTTGTCCCCTTTTATAGGGTTACACATCTTTCTGGAATGACTGCATATCATCTGGCCTTCGAGGGGGCATCCTGATAGAGTTGGCCATGCGGGGTCGAATCTATTTGGAACCTCCTACCATGCGTAAGAAGCGGCTACTGGACAGAAAGGTGCAGCATCCTCTGTGAACATTCTCTGAGCTTATGAAAGGGCAGATGCCAGTGGTCCATTTTGGAGAAATGAATAGAAAGATTTGAACAGTGGGACAAGATAAATATCACTGACTCAGCTGCCCCATTGTCTAATAGATTTAATTCTATATCAGACGGAGAAATCCAAGGGTCCATAGTCTAAAGAGTTACAAGAATTTCATGTATTTGTCTTTCTTTTTTATGCAGGAAAATCACATTTAGGATGCTGTTGATAATTCTCCCTCTCTAGCTATAGCTATAACATGAAATAGAGTCTATAGGAGGATGCACACATGCGGGCCAGGTACAGTCTTTGCTGAACTCTGGTCATCTGCAGATAAACCATTCAGTTCCTCCCCTCGCATTTACTGCAAGTCCTCTGCAGTATGTGAGCCATACTCCCGTCTCCTTCTTACTCTTTTTTTCTACTCACAACTACACTGTGATACTTGGCATATTTAGCACTAAAACCACATTCTTAGGGATCACCAGCTTCTTTTCAGTATGTATTTTTCTCTTTTAACCTATGTGTAACATTTGACACTTTTGACCACCCTCTCCTACTTGAAACTTTCTTCATTCTTGGCCTGTTATATTTCATTCTCTTGCTTATGTGGATGTAACCTATTTCCTTTACTTCTTCATTCCTTAACATCTGTGTCTCAGTTTGTATCCCTTTGCATAACTTCTATCCTTCACAGCTTCATCTGTTAACTCCATAATACTAACTACTAAATCTTAGGCCTATCTTCTTTTTCCAGCCCCAGCAACGTATTCAACTATTATTGGCTAGGCATTTCCACTTGGCTATCCTATATCACTTAAAACCAAACTTTTCCCCCAAACTGGGCTTCTTTTCCTGATTTTCTTATCTTCATTAATAGTTTTACAAGTAGGTTTTAACAGACTCGAAGAGTTATTATCAAATCTTTTCTCCATGATCATTTACATCCAGTTTGTCACTAGGGCCCACTTCAAATGCTATTTTGTCTCGCCACTATCACCCCGTACCAGATGTTGCAACTTCTTGAGAACAGACATAGTGTATTATGCTGCTTTGCATTTCTTACAGCATTTAACCAATAATGTATATATGGAATATTGAAAGATGTTAATGTAAATGAAGTGAATGAACCAGGGCCCCTTGTTTCTTCTTTCCTGAAAGGTACTGCTGAAGTCAGACAGCCCAACGGGTGATGTTTTACTGGATGAAACTCTCAAACACATCAAAGCTACTGAACCCACGGAAACTGTCCAGACATGGATAGAGCTGCTCACTGGTAAGATGGCTCAAAATGATTCGGAAATCCCACACTTGGTAATCTTGATCCTGCTCTTAAGGTTAGGAAAAGAAATACAGAAATTCAAGGGGCTGGCTAAGGTATATATGATTTACTGTTTAACTGGACTAATGAGGAACAGAAAAAGCACAGTTAATACCTAAAGTTTTCCAAAGCTTCACCTTACCATCTATCATGCTATCCCATAAGCTCTTGAATAGTACTCTTCACAAGAAAAATGTTTAACATCTTAATTGAATATAAAGCACATACCATAAAGTTCACCTATTTAAAGTGTAAAATTAAATGGATTTTAGTATAGTCACACAATTGTGAAACTCCATCGCAATCTTAAGTTGAGTACATTTTCATTAACCCCAAAATAAAACATATACTCCTTAGCAGTTTTCCCCACATTTCCCCCCAACCTCCTTCCAGCTCTAGACACCCCACTGACCTACATTTTGTCTTTGTAGATATTCCATATATTTCATACAAATGGAATCATACAACTTAAGGTTTTTTGTGACTGGCTTCTTAAGATAGTATGGTCAAGGCTTGTTCATGTTGTGTGGGATATAGCAATACTTCATTCCTTTTTTTTCTTTTTTAAAGGCAAGTTCAAAAACTTTAATGTAAATAACTAGGAACCTATGGCCTAAAATTTTAGGAGGATCTTCAGTAGGGCACTTTCAGGTCACAGTCCATATCATCTTCTGGAACAGTTTTTTTAATGGCAATTTCGTGCAGTTGTGAGAAATAATACAGAGATCATTTACAGGCTTTGCCCAGAATCCCCCACCACTAACATTTTATGAAACTATAATATAATATATGATGACCAGGATATTGATGCAATCCACCAATCTTATTAGAATTCCCCCAATTATAACTTGATTGTTTTATAGTGCCAAATATTTTGTTGTATGGATGTGCCATATTTGTTTATCCATTCATAAGTTGGTAGAAATTTGGGTCATTTTTACTTTGGCTATTATGAATAATGGTGTTATGAACATTCGTGGACAAGTTTTTCTATAGACATGTTTTAATTTCTTTTAGGTATATAGTGAACTTTTTTTATTGTGGTGTAAAATATAGAGAACATAATACTTTTCATTTTAATCATTTGTAAGTGTACAATCCAGTGACATTAAATACCTTCACACTATTGTGTACTCGTCATATTTCTCTATACTGAAAGCTTTCTCATCATTCCAAACATCTCTCTTCCTGCCTCCCCATGTTGCCTGGCAACCTCTCATCTACTTTCTGTCTCTGAATTTGCCTTTACTAGGTAACTCATGTAAGTGGAATCATATAATATTTGTCCTTCTGTATCTGGCTTATTTCACTAAGCATATTTTCAAGGTCCATTCATGTTGTAACATATATCAAAATCGTATTCTTTACTACATTGTGTTTATTCATTTCATCTATTGATAGATACTTGAGTTGTTGCCACCTTTTGGCTGTTACAGATAATGCTGCTGTGAACATTGGTATACAAATATCTGTTCAAGTCCCTGCTTTTCATTATTTTGGCTATATTCCTAGGAATAGAATTGCTGGAGCATATGATAGTTCTGTATTTTGAGAAACTGCCAAACTGTTTTCTACAGAGGCTGCACCCTTTTACCTTCTCATCAGTCATGCATGAGAGTTTCTTCACATCCTCATCGGTACTTGTTATTTTCTTTATTTCTTTTTTTTTTAATTATACCATCCTGGTAGGTATGAAATGGTATCTCATTTTTTTTAAGAGTTTATACATTTTTTTCTTGTGATGAAGACTTTTAAGATCTATTCTCTTGGTAAATTTCAAATACAAAATAGAGTGTCATTAACTATAGTCACCATTCTATACATTATATCCCAGGACTTATTTATTTTGTAATGAGAAGTTTGTACCTTTTGATCACATTCACACATTTCACGCTCCCCATACAGCCCCCACCTCTGACAATCACCAGTCTGCTCTATCTGTGATTTGTCAGGGAGGGGGTTATATTCCACGTGTAAGTGAGATCATATGGTATTTGTCTTTCTCTGTCTGACATATAACACTTATTATAAGGTCCATTCATGTCTCAAGTGTCAAGATTTCATTCTTTTTTATGGCTAAATAATATTCCTCTGTGGGTATATGTGTGTGTGTCTGTGCCCATCCCATCTTCTTTTTTAATTCGTCCATCAATGGACACTTCAGTTGCCTACGTGCTTTGGCTATATTAGTGGTTCTATTTCCTTTGGATAAATACCCAGAAATGGAATTGCTGGGTCTTATGGCAGTTCTATTTTTAATTTTTTGAGGAACCTCCATACTGTTTTCTGTAGTTGCTACACCAGTTTATATTCCCACCAGCAGTACACAAGTGTTCCCTTTTCTCCACATCCTCTTCAACACCTGTTATTTCTTATCTTTTTGATGACAGCCATTCTGACAGGTAAGAAGTAATATCTCATTGTGGTTTTGATTTGTATTTCCCTGATGATTAATGATGTTGAGCATTTTTTCATGTATCTGTTGGATATGTATATTTTCCTCTTGGAAAAATGTCTATTGAGATTCTTCGCCTATTTGATTTTATGTTACATTCCTTGGATAAATTTCACTTGATTGTAGTGAATAATTCTTTTAATATGCTGTTGGATCGAATTTGTTAAAATTTTATTAATGATTTTTACATCTATATTCATAAGGATTATTGGTGTGTGATTTGATCTAAAGTGAGTATGTTATAGACAGCATATAGTTGGACCATGTTTTTAACCCATTCTGCCAATTTTTACTTTGTAAAGAATAGCTTAATCCATTTATATTTAAATAAATTACTGATGCTTCTACCATTTTGCTGGGGTATTTTTGCTGTTTGTTTTCTATATGCCTCACAGCTTGATTTCTCCTCTCATTTCCTGCATTAATGTCTTCTTTTATGTTTAGTTGCTTTTTCTTTTATAATGAAACATTTTGATTTCCATTCATTTTATTTTGTGTACATTCCATGACTGTTTTCTTTGGTGTTACCATGGGGATTACATTTAGCATCCTAAATTTATAACTACCTGATTTGAATTTATACCAACTTAACATCAATTACATACAAAAATTCTGCTCCTCTACTGCTCCATTCCACCCTTTTTGTTTTGATGTCATCGATTATATCATTATAGATTGTGTGCCCAGTTATAGATTAATAATTGTTTTTAATGTATTCATCTATTAAAGCAAATAGAAAATAAAAGGTGGTGTTATAAACCAAAATCATAATAATACCAGCTTTTATAGTTCTCTGTGTATTTAACTTAAATCGGGATTTTTATTTCTTCATACTGTGTCCAGTTACTGTCTACTTTTCATTTCAACCTGCAGTACTCCCTTTTAGCACTTCTTGCAGGCAAGTCTGTAGAGTGGTAACAACCTTCTCCAGTTTTTATTTATGTGGAAAAGTCTTAATTTCTCCCTTATTTTTGAAGGGCATTTTTCTGGATGTAGAATCCTCAATTGAAAGGGGCTTGGGTTGTTGTTGTTGTTTTTCCCCCTATCTCTTTGAATATATCAGCCCACAGCCTCTGGCCTCCAAAGTTTTTGATGAGAAATCTACTAATATCTTATTAGGGGTCCTTTGCATGTGACAACTCACTTCCCCCTCCCTTCTTTCAAGATTACTTTTGCCTTTCAACTGTTTGCTTATAATATGTCTCAGTACAGATGTTTTGTTCAACACTGAGTTTGTTAAGCTTCCTAGATTTGTAGATTCATGTCCTCCATCAAATTTGGAAAGTTTTCAGCCATTACTTTTTCAGCTATTCTTTCTTTCCCCTTTTCTGACTCTTCTGTGATTTCCACAATGCAAATCTTGCCACCATTTGACAGTGTCCCAGGGGTCCCTTAGGCTCTATTCCTTTTTTTTTTCACTTGTTTTATTTCCATTCCTCAGACTATATAATTTTAATTGTCCTATTTTCAAATTTTCTGAATCTTTCCTCTGTCTGTTTAAATATGTTTTTGAGGACTTCCAGCCAAGATGGAGGCACAGGTAGATATACTTTGCCTCCTCACACAACTAAAAAAGGACAATAACAAATTTAAAAACAAAAAATAACCAGAACTGCCAGAAAATTGAACTGTATGAAAGTCCAACAACTAAGGAGTTAAAAGAGGAAACATTCACTCATACTGATAGGACGGGTGGAGACAGGCAGCTGGGGCACAGAGGACGCATGGCAAGGTGGTGGCTGGAGGACTGGGTGGACAAGGTAGAGACTGGCAGATGAGGCAGTCCCACATTTGCATGCGGATAAACCAGAAGGAACAACTGGGGAGTGAGATAGACCATGCAACCGAAGGTTCCAGTGTGGGAAAAGAAAGCTTCAAAACCTGTGGCTGTAAAAACTTGTGGGGGTTGCATTGGTGGAGAAACTCCCAGCCTCACAGGAGAGTTTGTTGGAGAGACCCACAGGGTCTTAGAATGTACACAAACGCATGCACCCAGGAATCAGTATCAGAAGGGCCCAATCTGCTTGTGAGTAGCAGAGGAAGCAATTGAAAGCTGGCCAAGAGCAGAGCAAGTGGCATTGTTCCTTCTCGGGCTCCTCCCCCACATACAGCGCCACAACACAGCAACGTGGGTTGACTCACCCTAGCGAATATATAAGGCTCTCTGGCATGCCAAGACAAAAAAAAATATGGGTCAAATGAAAGAACAGATCAAAGCTCCAAAAATAGAACTAAGTGATGAAGAGATAACCAACCTATAAGTACAGAGTTCAAAACAGTGGTAATCAGGTTGTTCACAGAAATGATTGAGTATGGTTGCAATATAGAGGAAGAAGTGAAGGCTATGCAAAGTAAAATAAAGGAAAATATACAGAGAACCAACAGTAAAGGGAAGGAAACCAGGATTCAGATCAATGATTTGGAGCAGAAGGAAGAAATAAACACTCAACCAGAACAAAATGAAGAAACAAGAATTCCAAAAAATGACAGGCTTAGGAACCTCTGGGACAAGCTTAAATGTTCCAACATCTGAATCTTAGGGGTGCCAGAAGGAGAAGAGGAAGAGCAAAAAATGGAAAACTTACTGGAACGAATAATGAAAGAGAACTTCCCCAATCTGGCAAAGGAAATAGACTTTTAGGAAGTCCAGAAACCTCATAGTCCCAAGGAAGTTGGACCCAAGGAAGCACATACCAAGGCACATCATAATTACATTACCCGATATTAAAGCTAAGGAGAGAATCTTAAAAGCAGCAAGAGAAAAGGAAACAGTTAACCTACAAAGGAGTTCCCATAAGGCTATCAGCTGATTTCTCAAAAGAAATCTTGCAGGCAAGAAGGGGCTGGAAAGAAGTATTGGAGGTCATGAAAGGCAAGGACCTACATCCAAGATGACTCTATCCAGCAAAGCTCTCATTTAGATAATATTTGAAGTGGGCCCTTCAAATATTATTTTTGTCTCCCCACTACACCTCATACTAGATTTTTAACTTCTGAAGGACCAGAATAGGGACTGTTTTCATAGTTGGTAACATCATTTTACATTTATTCCTACCACCAGTGTGTGTTTCAGTTCCTCCATGTCCTCATTACTTGTTACTGTTTTTTATTTTATTTTAGTCACACCAGTCAGTATATAGTAATATCTAACTGTGATTTTTATTTGTATTTCCATAATGACTAATTATATTAAGCATCTTTATATGTGCTTATTGGCCATTTGTATACCTTCTTTGGAGAATTGTCCATTTAAATCTTTTACACATTTTTGTTTTTACCATTTTGCTATTGAATTGTACTTTTAAATATATTCTAGATACAAATCTTAGCATATATGTGATTTGCAAAAATTTCATTCCAGTCTTTTTTAAATATATTTTATTGATTATGCTATTACAGTTGACCCATTTTTTTTCTTCCATTTATTCCCCTCTGCCCTGTACCCACTCTTCTATCATCATTCATTCACTTTAGTTCATGTCCGTGGGTCATACATATAAATTCTTTGGCTTCTCCATTTTTCATACGATTCTTAACTTCCCCATCTATTTTGTACCATCACTTATGCTTCTTATTCCTTGTACCTTTTCCCCCATTCCTCCATGCTCCCTCCCCACTGATAATCCTCCTTGTGATCTCTATTTCTGTGAATCTGGGATGTCTTTCCATTTATTTAGATCTTCTGTAATTTCTTTCAACAATATTCTATCATTTTCAGTGCATATCTTGGACCTCTTTTGTTCAACTTATTCATAAGTATTTTTGATGCTACTCTTTGATGCTATTGTTAATGTCGTTTTTTAATTTTATTTTATTTATTTATTATGTTGTTCATTACTAATGTATAGAATCACAATTGATTTGTATGCACTAATTTTGTATCATGAAACCTTGCTGAACTAGTTTATTAAGTGTAACAGTTTTTAAATATATTCCTTAGATTTTTAATATACAAAATCATATCTAAAAATTAAAATAGTTTAACTTCTTCCTATCTAATCTGGTCACCTTTATATCTTATTCTTGCCTAATTTCTCTGGTTAGACTCTCCAGTACAGTTCTAAATAGAAGTGATGAGAATGGGCATCCTTGTCTTATTCCTGATCTTAGCAGGACAGCAGTTTTTCACCATGAAGTATGATGCTAGCTGTGGGTTTTTCATAAATTCCCACTCTCAGGCTGAGGAAGTTCCCACCTATTCATAGTTTGTTCAGTACTATTATAAAAGGATGTTGGATCTTGATAAATACTTTTTTTGTGCATATTGAGATGATCGTTTCTTTTTTGTTTTTTATTCTATTGATATGGTGTATTACATAATTGGATGTTTTAGATGTTAAAAACCTTGCCTTTCTGATATAAGTCCTCTCTGGGTTTGGTTTGCTAGTGTTTTGTTGAGTATTTTGTATGCATATTCATAAAGAATATTGATATGTAGTTTTCTAGTGACGTCTTTGGTTTTGGTATCAGAGTGAATACCATATAGATTAAGGAAGTGTTCCCTCCTCTTGTTTCGTTGAAAGAGTTTGTGAGGAGCCCGAGCTGGCGTAGCTCAGTGGATTGAGCACGGGCTGCGAACCAAAGCATTGCAGGTTCAATTCCCAGTCAGGGCACATGCCTGGGTTGCAGGCCATGGCCCCCAGCAACCACACATTAATGTTTCTCTCTCTCTCTCTCTTTCTCCCTCCCTTCCCCTCTAAAAAAATAAATAAAATCTTTTTATAAATAAATAAATAAATAAATAAATAAATAAAACTGCAAAGCATTAAAAAAAAGAGTTTTTGAGGGATTGGTATTAATTCTTCTTTAAATGTTTGGTAGAATTACCAGTAAAGCCATCTTGGCCACACTTTGTAGGAAGTTTTAAAATTAGTTATTCAATCTATTTATTTGTAGATCTATTCATATTTTCTCTTTCTTTTTTAGTCAATTTAGTTAATTTGTGTGTTTTAAAGAATTTGCCCCTTTTCTCTAGGTTATCTAATTTGTTGGTGTACTATTATCTATAGTATCCCCTTATTACCCTTTTTATTTTTAAGATCAGTAGTGATACCTCCTCTTTCATTCCTAATTTTAGTGATTTGAGTCTTCTCTCTTATTTCCTGGGTCAGCGTAAGCTTGTCAGTTTTATTTATCTTTTCAGTGAACCAACTTTTGATTTATTGATTTTCTCTATTGTTTTTCTCTATTTCCATGCTAATTTTTATAATTTCCTTTCTTCTGCTTGCTTTGGGTTTAGTGTGCTTTTTTCTTCCTTCTAGTTTTTTAAGGTAGATTAGGTTATTAATTTGACATTGTTTCTAGAATAGCATTTGGGGTCACAAATTTTCCTCGACAGAGCTTTAAGCTGCATCCTGTCAGTTATGTTATGTTGTGTTTTCATTTTCATTCAACTCAGAGTATTTTTTAAATTTCCCTTGTGATTTCTTCTATTCCTATTGTGGTGTTTTGTTTTGTTTTGTTTTTTTCAGAATATGTTGTTTAATTTCCATAAATTTTTTAATTTTCCAAATTTCCTTCTGTTAACAAATTTTATTTAATTCCATTGTGGTTGGATAGCATATTTTGTATTTTTTTAGTGCTTTTAAATTTATGAGGCCTGTTTTAAATTTATTAAGGCCTAGCATATGGTTTCTCCTGGAGAATGTGCCATGTGCACTTGAGGAGAATGTATATTTTGCTGTTACAGGGTTGAATATTCTATAAGATGTCTTGTTTGTTAGGTCTGGTTAGTTTATAGTGTTCCAAGTTTTCTGTTTCTTTTCCCCATAGGCGAGACCTGGAACCCCTTCAAATTACAATACCAGCTGAGAAATGTAAGAGAGCGAATTGCAAAGAACCTGGTAGAGAAAGGCATTCTAACTACTGAGAAGCAGAATTTCCTCCTATTTGACATGACTACTCATCCAGTGACCAATACAACAGAGAAACAGCGACTAGTGAAAAAACTTCAAGATAGTGTTCTAGAGCGGTGGGTAAATGATCCTCAACGTATGGACAAGCGAACCCTAGCACTCCTGGTGCTAGCCCACTCCTCTGACGTGCTAGAAAATGTCTTCTCCTCTCTGACAGATGAAAAGTATGATGTGGCAATGAATCGAGCCAAGGACTTAGTAGAACTGGACCCTGAAATAGAGGGGACAAAGCACAGCACCACAGAAATGATCTGGGCTGTGTTGGCAGCCTTCAATAAATCCTAAAGCCAACAGATGGGTTTCTCATTTTCTCCCTGCTGGCCTGGTGACTGTCAGAGACACCCTCACTGAGTTTTGTGTAATAAGATGTTTTTCATTATTTTTCTTTCCTTCTCTTGAATCAGACTTGTGATTTGGGGAGAGCAACCACTTCAGGGCTTCTCCATAGACCTTGACCTCTATAAACAAACTTTACTTCTTCCTATACTTTCACTCCAGAGGTGAATAAACTGGGTGAGCCCACACACACCCAGTAAACATTTTCTCTCATTGTTTAGTTTACTTCTATCTAGTGTGCTTTTGGACAAGCAAGGTTATCTATGTGGGATTCAGTATTCTCCAGCCACAGAATGTGAATGTGAATTTGAATTTGAGATGAAGAGAAGACCATATATTACATTTTTTAAAGTCTGTTTTCTATCTTAAATACATGTTTTCAGTCTTGGTCTCTCAGATTCTGCTAGGTAATATAGCGTATTGAAATAACTGCCTCTTTGAATAAGGGTCAATGGAAACAAACTAATTTTTAGAGCAGATGGTCTCTGAGATTGTATGTCCTGCTAGTGATTTTCTCACTTCCCTATTTAAACATAATGAGAGTATTCCAAATTGATCACCTGGTTCTCATAGCTCTAGAACCAGAAATATATTCTATCCTCTTTCTGAGCATTATTCTATTCCATCATTAGGACAGAAGTCTCAATGGAAAAAATACCTCTCTCAATCACCCCTTTCATGCAATCAGCATTATTGTAAGGGAAGGAGGTGGTATCAGAATTTCTACCCTTTAGCACATGACTGTCCAGGTTTCTCCAGACAACTCTAAATCTCACTACTCTGAACTGAGTTGTAAATTTCAATTGCTGAAAGGCAGCAAGTCCTAAATCTAGATAGTGTATATAGACTCCAGATCTTCCTCCCTACTTTTGGCTTTCTACATAAATTAATAGATTCAATCTATATTTAAGCAATCTGGAATCATTTTGTCTATATTTAATCCACAGATACCTTCCTAGTCATTAGTATTGTTTCAACACAACCATCTTTCTAGGCAAATCTTTAAAATGTTTTTTTCAATTTAGTAGTTGAGCGTAAAGAGAAGCTTATTAAGAAAAATCCTATTTGGGAGGGTCGGTTTGGCGACAAAAGCATACTGATACAAAGTTCAGGATTAGGGACAGAAAGTGAACAGGAACCAAGTTGTGCTAATGTAGAGCATTTATTATGCTTGTAATGGATCCTGCCTCTTAACCATTACAGAGAAATAGGATGTCAAAGGTCTAATACAGGTGACTCAGATCTGATACTAAATCTTCCTGAGCAGGAGTAATTAAATCATAGCTTCCATCTCTTCTCCAAACCTGTTTAGCCCTACAGAATTCCCCAACTCAATACTTCAGGTGTCGCTTAGGTAACTGGAGAAATAAATTTTATCATGAGACAAATTCTCAATGTGAGGTTGAGTAGAGCTTTAGTCCGGCTCTTTAAAAATTCAAAAGCCAGCCCATGTGTTGTTTCTATCTTACTTAGTTTTTCTTTCCATTTGAACAGTTCGGCATGAATTGAAACCAGGTTTTCCTGTGGAAAGTTTCAGCTTGATTGAGGCACATGGAAGTTGAATTGAATTCTTTCTTGCAACTCTTGGTTCTGTTTATTTTTATATTGTATCTCAAAATGGTGTCTTCAGTTTGAACCTGCAGAATGTTCACTACAAAACACCTCGTTTAAAGCATATGGCCTTCACATTTCCGTATAATAAAGATAATTATTGGCTCTCTGGTCTCTCTGTGCAGTTTTATAACTTATTTTAACTGGAAATAAAAACTTTCCACACAAGGCCTATACATTAGGATACCAGCCTCTGTTTCATCCTGTGTAGAAAATTAGAATACACAAATAACATATATAGACTGGGGTAGGGGGCATCAAGGCTAACCTGAACACTAACCAATGTTAGGGAGTTCGAATAATGTCTCCATCCTAATCAAAATGACTTACCCAATTATATACCATTATTACCATTAAGAGAATATATATGTTCTGTCCTATTAACATCTACTTGTGAATGATACCTGAATTTATCTAAGAGCCGGCAGTCTTAAGTTCTAAGTGTAGATATCATATGTAACTACGACAGAGTTAATAACATGTGAAATGATAATTGTGCTTGTAATTAGCTTATTCTTCCCTTTATAAAGTTGATAGGATGAGGGACAATAAGAAATATAGTTACTAAGTTCATCTATACTTTCATTATTTTAATTTCAGATAAAGCATTGTTCCCGTAATTCATTGTTTATATATAATGTTTCTCAAGATTCTGTGCAAAGCTCACTGCACCAAAATAATCTTGGGGGTGGGGAATGGATACCTTGCTAAAATGAAGATTTCTAATAAATCAGTCTCATGACATTGGGGGCTTTGGAAGCTGCATTTTAAACTCAGTCTTGAAAAGCTTGCATGTGAAATTGAGAATCCTGCTCTATATTTTATTGCCTACAATCCATTCATCCAAAAAATGTCAGGTACTTATTTTTTTTTTAAGATTGTATTTATTTATTTTTAGAGAGAGAAGAAGGGAGAGAGAAAGAGAGGGAAAGAAACATCAATGTGTGGTTGCCTCTCATGCATCTACTAGGGACCTGGCCTGCAACCCAGGCATGTGCTCTGACTGGGAACTGAACCAGCGACCCTTTGGTTCTCAGGCCAGCACTCAATCCACTGAACCACACTAGCCAGGACAAATATCGGGTACTTAAAAATTTGCCCTGGCTGGTGTGGCTCAGTGAATTGAGCATTGGCCTGTGAGCCAAAAGGTCACCAGTTTGATTCCTGGCCAGGGCACATGTCTGAGTTGTGGGCCAGGTCCCCAAGGTGAATGAGAGGCAACCAGCTGATGTTTCTCTCCCCCCTCTCTCTCTCCCCTCTGTCTTAAAAAAAAAATCTTTAAAAAAATTAGCAGGCACTTGCAGCTCCCAAGAACTCATGTTTAAGTGGGCAAATAAGACACTGTATGATAAACGCTCAAATAGAAGTATGCATTTAGTATTTGGAAGCACAAAGAAATAACATTCTTACTGGGAACATTAGGAAATACATTTATTTATAGCAGTTTTTGTATACTGAGCACTTTTCTTGTAAGGTACTATGCTAATTGCTTTATATCTTATTTAATGAATTCTTCACAATACCAAAAACCCCATAAGCTTATTTTAAAAGAAAACTCAGAGAGGTAATGAGACTTGCCTAACAACACAGTGGAGAGTTTGAGTTCAAACACATGCTTTTCTTTTTAGTGTATTTTATTATGCTTTTACAGTTGTCCCAATTTTTTCCCCTTTGCTCACCTCCACCCAGTACCCTCTTCCCTCCAGCAATCCACCTCTTTAGTTCATGTTCATGGGTTGAGCATGTAAGTTCTTTGGCTTCTCCATTTCCTATACTATTTTTAATAGGCCCCTGTCTATTTTGTACCTACCAATTATGGTTCTTTTCCCCCATTTTTCCCCTCTCCCTTCCCTGCTAATAACCCTCCAAATGATCTCCATATGTATGACTCTGTTCCTGTTCTAGTTGTTTGCTTAGTTTGTTTTTGTTTTTAGATTCAGTTGTTGATAGTTGTCTGTTATTTTAATGTTCTTAGTTTTGATTTTTTTCTTAAATAAGTCCCTTTAACATTACATATACTAAAAGCTTAGTGATGATGAACTCCTTTAGGTTTACCTTGTCTAGGAAGCACTTTACCTGCCTTTCCATTCTAAGTGATAGCTTTGCTGGGTAGATCAATCTTGGTTGTAGATCCTTGCTTCTTATCACTTTGTATCCTTCTTACTAGCCCCTTCTTTCCTGCAAAGTTTCTTTTGCGAAATCAGCTGACAGTCTTATGGGAACTCCTTTGCAGGTAACTGCTTTTCTCTTGCTGCTTTTAAGACTCTTTAACCTTTGGCATTTTAATTATGATGTTTCTTGGTGTGGTCCTCTTTGGGTCCTACTAGTTTTGGACTCTGTGCTTCTGGGACTTGTATGTCTATTTCCTTTGCCAAATTAGGGAAGTTTTCTTTCATTATTTTTCAAATAAATTTTCAATTTCTTGTTCTTCCTCTCCTCCTTCTAGCATCCATATGAATCAGATGTTGGCACTCTTGGAAATATGCCAGTCTTCTTATTCTCCTTGTTTTTTTGAATTCTTGTTTCTTCATTCTGTTCTGGTTAACTATTTCTTTCTCATGTTCCAAATCATTGATTTGAACCTTGGCTTCCTTCCCTTCACTGTTGGTTCCCTGTGGATTTTTCTTCATTTCAATTAGTGTAGCCTTCATTTCTTCTCTTATGCTTGTGCCTGTACTCACTGAGTTCTCCAAGCATCCTGATCACCAGTGTTTTAAACTCTGCATCTGATGAGTTGGCTATCTCCATTTCATTTAGTTCTTTTTCTGGGGTTTTGTTCTGTTCTTTTATTTGGGCCATATTTCTTTGTCTCAATTTGGCATCCTCCCTGCATTTGTTTCTGCGTTTTAGGTAGAGCTGTTTTGACTCCCTGTCTTAGCGTACCTGTTAAGTTGTACAGGTATTCACTAGGGCAGGGCAACTCACTTCACCACTTTGTGGCACTGTGTGGGGGAGGAGGGGTCAACAAGGGGGACAGTGCTGCTGCCTGGCTGCTGGAGGCTTGCTCAGCATTTGCCCCACTTCTAGTCAGTTCACCCACTTCCAGTATGCAAGTGGTGCCCTAGCTGTTGCCATGATGGTGGTTCTCAAGAGCAAGTGAGTTTGCGTATGTTCCAGGACTGTGCAGGCTCTTTAAATGGACTCTCCTAAGAGACTGGCAATTTCTTTGGCCACCCCAACCCCCACTGGTTCTTAACAGCCAGAAGTTATGAGGCTTTATTTTCCAGGCTCTGGAACCTCGGTGGCACATTCTGGCTGGGACTGGGGTCACTTGCTCCCCAGATATCCCTCCCAATTTTTACCCACCACATGTGAATGTGGGAACACCCATTTTGCTGGCCACTTTCCCCGCCCTCTCCTGCCACTGTCGCCACACCATGTCCTCTCTACCCTGGCTCCCAGTCTCTGCCTACCTGTCTGGATGAATATGGCTTCTTTAAATCCTACATTGTCAGACTTCCATACAGTTCAATTTTCTGGCAGTTCTGGGTGTTTTTTGTTTAGAGGTCAGTTGTGATCCTTATTGTTGTGCAAGGAGGCGAGGCATGTCTACCAACACCTCCATCTTGACTGGAAGTCCAAACACATGCTTTTTTACTGCTACTCCTGCCTCCATTTAAACTCAGTTTTGAAGAATTTTTTCATATTGAGAAGAGCTGAGACTATTCTGGGCAAAGAAAACAATATGTACAAAATAATTTTAACGTGCTAGGATTTGATAAATGTGTACTTGTCACATATCTCTGGATTTCTAAAAGATATCATTCTAAGATTATGTATATTCAAGCTGTAGGCTAAAGTTTTTGAAACTTTCATTTTTCTTTGGTTCTTTTTATAAAACTAAGTTTCTGCCATCGTTTTCATTCTTCCTTAATAAGTTCTTTTTAAGATTTCTTCCCTGGCTGGTGTGGCTCAGTTGATTGAGTGTCAACTTGCAAACTGAAAGGTCGCCAGTTGGATTCCCAGTCAAGGCACATACTTAGGCTGTGGACCAGGTCCCCAGTTGGGGGCATGTGAGAGGCAACCAATTGATGTATATCCTGCACATTGATGTTTCTCTTCCTCTCTTCCTCCCTTCCTTCCCCTCTCTCTAAAAATAAATAAAATGTTAAAAAATAAGATTTCTTACAGGGCAAGTCTTGCCAGACATATATTCCCTCAGTTTTTGTCTGAGAAAGTCTTATTTTCACTTTTATTTATTTTTTAATCCTTACCCAAGAATATGTTTATTGTTTTTTAGTTAGAGGAAAGGAGACAGAGACACACACCACATACATCCTTGTGAGAAAGAAACAATCTGTTAGTTGTCTCTCACATGTGTCCCAACCAGGTGATCAAACACACAACCTAGGTATGTGCCCCGACCAGAGACAGACCTGTGACCTTTTGGTGCACAGGTCGACACTCCAACCAACTGAGCAACCTGGCCAGGGCTAATTTATTGATTAGGGAGAGAAAGGAAGGAGAGAGAAAAAGAGAGTGTGAGGGAGAGACAGAGAGAAAGAGAGATGCCTTCAGTGGTTGATTTCTTTTTAACTTCATTTTTAGAAAGAAGGGAAAAGAGAGAGAGAAACATCTATGTAAGAGAGAAACATTGACTGGTTCCTCCAGCCAGGACCAAATCCACAACCTTGGTGGATCCACACTCTAACCAACTGTGCTACCCAGCCAGGGCTATCCTTCACTTCTGAAGGATAATTTTACTGGATATAGAATTAGGTTAATGGGTTATTTTTGGTTTGTTGTTTCTTTTTCTTTCATTTTTTATTGATTCCAAAGAAAAGGGAAGGGAGTGAGAAAGAGAGGGAAAGTAACACTGATGTGAGAGAGAAATGTCTCTCAGTTGCCTCTTGCATGTACCCTGATTGGGGACTGAACCTGCAACCGATGCATGTGCCATGACCTGGGAATATGCCCTGATGAAGAATTGAACCTGTAATCTTTTGGTTTGTGGGATGACACCCAACCAATTGAGCCACGCCAGCCAGGGATTTTTTGTTGTTTCTTTTTACAATACTTGAAATATTTTACTCTATACTCCTCTTGCATGTATATTTTCTGAGATCAAATTTTAACAAAACTATAGAGAATTCTAATCACTCTTTA